TGTACTCCATGTTGGCCGCCGCGGGGTACACCTGGCTGCGCAGCTTGTTGTGCAGGTCCAGGATGCCCTGCATGTCGTCGTCCGAGATGGCCCTCTTCCCCCGGTGCCTGGCCGTCCACCACTCCCCCTCCTCGTCGGCGTACTTCTCCAGAAGCCTTTCCAGCAAGGTGGCGTTGGGGACGACCATGGCCGGCACGGCTTCGGCCACGAGCAGCAGCACCGCGGTCACTCGGAGCCACGCGGGCGGGGCGCGCTCCATGGTGGCCGAGCTCAGGGGGTCCCTGGGAAGACCTCACGGGAAGGCTCTTCCGCGCCTCTCGGCTGCAACGACAGGCAGTGTGATTAGCGCGGAAATCGAGGCAGACACTCATCTCCCGGCAGTAAACGTAAAGCCGCAGTTGGGAGGGGAGCGGGCCGGGTCCATCGGTCTCCGCATCGCGCCGGCCAACGGGCAGGCGCTTCTGGAGCCAGCAGTCCCACCCTTCCTCCCTCGGAGGGCTGGACACACGGGACGCGCTCTTCCCGCGAAGCACACAGTACACTTTCCGGGGTGACAGGCACGAGGCCAAAACGAAATAGCAAAAGTCGCCCTAAAGAGTCAAAGCTTGGAAATAATTTCCGAGCTACACGACTGTAAATGGCTGTGATTACAGACAGCCTGCAAGGGCGTGCCGAGGATACTTTCCACCCGTCGACAGGTCCCGGTTTCTGTGCGTCCAGAAGCTTCCTGCCTACAACTCACAGGCACTCAGAGCGCCCGCGGCGACTTCCTCGAAGGAGCACAAAACATTTGGGCATAAAACATTCGCGCACGGCAAGAAACATTCGGGCACAAAACAAACATTCGCGCACGTAACCCTAGAACCACTACGGGCGCAGCGAGCGGAAGCACATGGATGGATGGTGCGGGTCCCTGGAGGGGTCTCCTCTGGCACAGAGCGGGCCGAGAAGAAGCTCAGTCATTTCCTGGGGAGCGAACCTAACCTGTGGCGCGCACCCGACGGAACTGACAACCCCCCCGCAACTTCAGAGCTTTGCGGGCCGGAAGCCCCAAGCGCACCCGGCGCTCACTTAACCCAGAAGAAAAGCGCGCGCCGAAAGGAGCGGGTGAAACTCGGAGTCTCCCACAAGAACCGGCTCCCCGTCGTCTCCATCGCCGTCGCCCTCCGAGCAGCCCACCCACCCTCGGGTCTGACCCGGTCCTGCAAGCTGGTTTGATTTAAAAGCAGGGGCTAAGAAGGAAAGGGTAGCTAGGAAGAGGGGGATGCGTGCCGACTGGGCGATGAGCGCTAGCAAGGTCCTTACCTCTCCAGGGTGAAGTTCCCTGCGAGAGCGGAGCCCCACCAGCCGGCCGGCCTCCGGTCCCCTCCGCACGGCCCCGCCCCCAGACAGTCCCCTTCGGGAAGGCCCGCACCGCGCGCCCAGGGCGACCAGGGCGCCGACTGCAGCGCGACGCGAGCCTGGGCCTCCGCGCCCCTCCGGGACCTGCACCAAAGAGCAGGCAAAGCTCTCCAAAGCCAGAGCCTGAAGTTGGAGCGCGGAGGGAGCCGCCTAGTTAGCTGGCCGGGGTGCGCGCCCGATCGTCTCCGAGCACCCTCTGCAGGAGCCGAGGGCGGGGACAGCAGCGGAGTCGGGCGGCGAGGGCTGGCGGGGACCCGGAGCTCCTGCTCGGAGCCGCCGCGATGCGCAGAGCCCGGCGCCCAGAGCTTCCGCGGCTCGCTCCAGCCGGTGCATTTATAGCGGTCCCTGCACGCACGTGACGTAAGCGCCCCCCAATGCCACCGCCAACCCCACCCCCACGCCACTCCCACCTCTCCCGGCCCTTGTCCCGCGGCAGCGGTGGGAGGGAGGAGCCACCGCCCGCCTCTCCCCCGGCCCGCGAACCAGGACGCTCCGTCTCCGTGGCGACCCTGAGGGAGGTGTGCGCAAGGAGAGCCCCAACTCCTCCCGCCCTCGCGGCTCTCCACCTCCCACTTCCTCCCAGATGAGATGCACAAAAGGTTTTAACCACCGTTGCAGAAAAGGAGCTGCCCCGAGAGCGTGCGGAGGGAGAGGAGTGGTCTTAGCACCTTGGCGCTTGGAGATGCAGGAGAGGAGCTCGGGGGCGGGAGGGGAAGTGAGGAGACAATGGCTTTTCCTTTTCTTTTCCTCAAGGAAGCGCTTCTGTTTCCAAGGCCATTGTGTAGAATCCAGAAGTTGTTTTTGGCTCCTTTCAACGTGAAGGTGACCAGATGGGGAAGGGGTTTCACAGAGTGATGGCTGATCCCTGACTCAGGGTTGCCTGACAGCTGAGAGGCCACTTCGCCCATAAAACACAGGCACTTGCTTCCCACGGTGACCATAGCACATTTTTTTTCTGATGATGTAGACTTTATGGCTTTTACAGGTACATTTTTAAGTTAAGAAACAATTAATTAATTTGCCTTTGTTTCCCTCTGTAGTGAGCCATGCTCTGCATTTTCTTTATCTCTAAATGCTAGTGTGTGTAGTTTATGATCAAATAAAGTAAAACATTCTGATAGTAACTCCCTGCCCGTCCCCACCGGCCAACTGCACTTGACCAAACCTAAAAACTCGAATGGAATAAAGAAAACGGCAGCATTGCCTTTCGGAAGGGCACAGAGGTGACAGGTTCTGGTGACGCGACTTTCACAGAAGGTGTAATTTTGCAATTTCATAGCCGCTTAAGCACAAGAAGGCTGTTCAGTCGTACTTGACAGTCATTTGTAAGCCTCATGCACAGGGTTCAGAAAACTGGCTTTCCCTCCTGAGACGGGATGAAAACCCCCAAGTTCGTGATCAAAAAACTATCATTTATCATAGCAGGTGAAGGGCTCGTTTTTATAATGCAGTTTTAATGAGGTGTTTGTTATGAAGTATGCTGAGCTTCAAAAACCATTAAAAGTAATAACATTACTTGAAATATTTTCCAAGAGAATTCAGTGTAGGAAGAAGGCAATTAAGATGATAAAAAAAAAAATGAAATTATATGCACTGACTCTTGAATGCTTCCATCATAAACTTTGTGTATATTGTATACACACTATATACCAGACACCTACGGACTTACAGTAAAGAAAATAAAATTTGGTTTTAAAGTTTTAATTCCAAACCTTTCCCCGGGCAAGAAAAAAAATAGTTTATATTCCTTGTCTCGGTGTTTCTGTTGGCTTCCAATTTGGTGGCACAGGTCATACTTTCACGTAAAAGAATGATTTAGACATTTTCTATATTAAACCTTAACATACCTGATTTAATACATATTTTGGAAATGCCATTTTAAAGAGTAATCACACACAATATCCTTGAATACCCAAAGATGATACTGTTCACATTCTTATTTGTTGTTGAGAAATATGTATGTAGACCGAAGAAAACATCTCCACACAGTATTCACGTAGAAGTGGCACTCTGGTTTGTGGCTGAGGCTGTTACTTGCAAGGCCATGGTTGTTTTTAGCATTACTACTTTCTTGCGGCACACACTGGTTGGTTGCCTAACCAAAGCCAGCCTTCCACCCTTTCTTCCAATCCCTAGCTCCCAATTTGCTGGGGGTGTTCTCCCTTGCACGGGTTGTTAAACTAGCATCCTTAGAAGGTGAATGTTGGTCAGTCAAAGCCAGTTGTCACAATTCATCCCCTCCACCAGCGCCTCACTTAGCTTGGGCATGCCCGCAACCCTGACTACTGAAAGGAGGGAAGAAATGAACCTGAGGGGGAGGGGGAGGGTTAGCAAGGGTTTTCTTCTGTGATGAAAAGAGGTGCTGGTGTGCAAGTCTGTGAAATTTAAAGATGCAGATTTTATTGTGCAAAGAGAGGGATGAGCCTGAGGACAGAGACCCATCTTCTTGGCTGAGCAGAAAGACAGATGGTGCTTGAGTCTTCCTGCTGTTGACCCATCATAAAGCACCTACCCTCCATTTTTCTGGTTGCAAGAAGACGGTAAATATATTGTTTCAGCCGCAACGACCTCGGTATTCAGTTACCTGCAGCTTGAAAATTTCTAACTGATCTATTTCTACAAAGAAAATACTTTCCTCTGGCAATGTCATGTTTTCTCCATGCTGCTGCAGCTAATAGTTTGTGCTCAGGTGCAAACTTAGGAGTTATCTTGAAATATATTCATAGGTGTTTTCTGTCTGTGTACTTGCAAAAGTAGGTGTATAGTCATCTTTAGGCATTTCATCCACTATACAGTCGCATGACCCCAAACTTCAATCTCAGGCCCAGCCACTGACTGTTCTAAGATTTTATTTATTTATTTTTATATCTTTATTGATTTCAGAAAGAGGAAGGGAGAG